ATTATGTCTCTTCTTCTGCATTTTTTATTTTTCATGGATAACTAAATTTTTGTATTAATTTTCTGAGGAGAATGTAGATTTTGAGGTTTTGTTCTTCTATTTCGTTTGTTCTCTTAACTCTTCATCTCTTAATCCCAGTGTTGAATTATAATCTGTTTATACTTAATAAACCGAAACCAATATCACGGTTTGCTTAGTCATGTGTTAGAGATGAGATTATGTGATGTATGTAATGCTTAATTGTATAAGGATAATTTGGGTTAATCTTCGCTTAGTTGGTTAATTTCGAATTGGAATAAGAGTTAAAACAATTTAATTGTGTAACCTAGGATAAGTGACACTGCATTCAAATCAAGAAATCAATTATTTTCTCGTTGTTTTATTTAAATTCTATTTTCGTTAATTTACTATTTATTATTACGTAAACCCTTTTTCTTTTCAAATTTAATTACTACACTATTTTATTTTAAAGCAATTATTGATTCTTGCAATTTTAATTAAAAGAACTTTATTTTAATTTTTTAAATTTCAGTTATTTAAATTCTACATCAATTTATTTCTCTTTCTCACCTTCATTTTTACTTCATTTTTACTTTATTTACTCTCTCTTAAAGAAAATGATATAGGGTAATAAGTAACTATGTTGCATTCTTTTTGCATAAAAAATGTTAAAAGTCACAGTCAATTACGTTCTAATTCTTGAAATTTTGAGCATTCAATTATTTAAATCACATAACATTATTTTAATGTCCAAAATTATTAAATATTATTTTTATTTATTTAAAAACTGAAATGACCGCTATTTAAATATGTTAAAAGTCAAACATAATATTTCATTTAAAGATTAAATTATGTTATGTTCATAGTGTCCTATTTCTTAATCAAAAGAGACTTTGATTGGGCTTATACTCTTTGCATAGGAAAATTTGAATATGTGGATCAATAGTCGATGTTCAGACCCCACCAACAAATTTACTTAGGTTGTTCTTAATATTTTGTTTTGCAGAAAATTATAATGACTTTTTTTTTTGGATTAAATTTCTACAATAGAATAAAAGGGTGAACAATATGTTTTATTTTATATTCTTATTTTGTGTATATTCTTATTTTGGTCAAATTTGGCAGTGTTGAATTGGAATTGAGGAATTTTGTCAAAACCGCTGGCTCAGGCGCAACTACTTAAACTCTGTCATTTCGTGGGGTCCTTCATGAACGTGGATCATAAAGTATAACTTGAATCGTTTTAACTTGATCTTCTTCTATAAGATAACCAAGTTCTAGCATAAATCCACGACCCACTCACTCTAGTCAATTTTAAAATAAAAATGTAATAATTTTACATGTACTTTTCTTGATATTGAAAAGTGTATTGTACATTGATTAAATGATAGCATTAGTGAGATTCAGTATTTGATTAAAATATAAATTCATGTTTATTTTTTTTTATAAGCAAATAAAATCAATTAAACTAAATAAAAAAGGTACTCAAAACCCAAAAACATAATACAATATAAAGTAGGGAAATGTTATTAAAAAACACGAAATATATAAGAAACACGCTATACAAAACAGATTCAAAGATTATTATGTCAGTCTACCAGCCTAAAAGACATTCTCATATCGATCAAAAGATTCACTTCTAAGAATATAGATGAATAGAGTCAAACAACTCCAACTGATCTACAACGACTTGATTAAAGACCACATAGTTACAGTACAACCAAATGGATCAGATGACCGCAACCCAAATAATAACAAAGTACTTGAGATCGCTTATTACTCCTCTCTTGATCACACCAAACAAGAAAAAAGGACATCAAAGAAGAAGTCATAACAAAATTAACATCAAGCAAGCAAAAAAATTCATCAACGTATTATATGTCAACGGACAAAAAACAAAAAGATGTACCGAATCTTCTACAAATAAACGGTACATAGAACACAAAGTAGAATTCATCTACACATCACGTACTTGCAGAAGCAACCTACTATCTAAAGTTCGGACTTTCTAAATTTTTTTTTTTTTTTTTTAATGTTACTAGTTTCATCATATAGTTGTGTACGAAGAGGGTTTAAGAAATAACTAATTTAAAATTTAGAATAATTGAGAATAGAACTATAATCTCACATTATTCTAGTAACCAATTAAAATAGTTAATGATTAAATCTAATTCATATTTTAAAATGAAATATCATTTTTTATTTTATATGACCTTAGATTAAGTCAACTAATCAATAGAATAATTTTTATTTAATTAAAAAAAAGATATTTAAACTTTTAAGTTATATCAATAAAAATAATTTTTATATAGGTATAATAATTTAATATATAATTTATAAGAAAAATAATTTATTCATTTTAAAAGAAAATTTAAAAATTTATTATTTATTATCATTAGTTTTTTAATTTAATAATATAAAATAATAATTTATTTTAACTTTTATATATGAAATAAGTGGATAAAAAATATTTATTTTTATATTTATTAAAATAAGTGAATTTTTTTAAAGTTAATTTATAATATATAATTTTTAATAAAATACTAATTTTTTATTTAAAAAAAATTATTATTTTATAAAACGAAATACGATGAATTAATAAAAACTAAATTAATTTAGTCAAATAAAAATTAACTTGATTTAATTTAATGTAATTTAGACTATTTTTTTTAATCTTAGATTAAACTTATTTTGAGACGTAATTGAGAATACGGAAAAGAAATATTAGGAGTTTCAATTAACGCGAAAATATTCCAATTTTATATAGTTGTTTCTTTTATTTGTATTCCAATGTTATTTTTTTAATTAATTAATTAATTATATATATATATATATATATATATAATTTGATTTTAATCATTGAAATTTCTAACATATGAAATTTTACTTTAGGGTATAAATAAAAGGTAGTAATAGATTGAAAATGACATATATTTTAAAAAGTTGAATTAATTATAATAACTAGAGATTTATTTTTTATTTCCATCACTTGAAAATAAATAATAAGAATAAATTAAAAATCTGTAACTAATTAAGGATAACTAAAAAGTTGAAAAAGTATATATTATTATTATTTATGGGGTTTATATGGGAAAAGTATGAACTCTAACTCTAGATTCAAACTAGATGGGGTGCATATTATAGTAACCTTTTCAATAACTGGCAACAGTTGACAATTGCTTATGGTTAATAGAGATGATGTAGATACATTTAAGAAAAGTTTGACATCTAAATCAATGTATAAAAAGGTTGAATTTGAGGTTTGTATAATTCAAATAACCATTTGTCAAAAATTGTGATACAAATGCAATTGCAATGCCATCATCAATCATTCTTCCAGTGATCATGAGGTTGTTAGCAAGCTAAAAGTTTATTCAATACAATGAATTATTGACTGTTACCAAGCTTGGTGGTACACTAAACATTTTTCCAAACAATAAATATATATTGTTCTAAAATTTATATACCGTTAGGATGAAGTTTTTAAAAAAAAAATGGTTTATAAAAATATTGAGTGAGTTAAAGAATACCTGATTCATATGAATTGAAGGTATTACTTGAAATAAAGTTTGTTTATTCAATGAATGAGATAGTTTAGAGGTATGTGTATTATTTGGAGTTTATATCTCAACGAATTTGAAAATCATAGTGTTTGTGAAAGTCAAAAGATGTAACAGATACGACAAAATTAGAGGTTGAACTTACTACCTACCATATTCAAAGCAAATTATAAGATAAGAAGATGAAAAGGACATTGTCGGTAAAACATTGGCGGCTTCAAAAACTTGGTGAAATATTTTAGTTATAATTGTCTCATTAATATCTATATCTCTCTTTTTTTTTACACTCGAGAAAATAAATTATATTAAAATAATTATGTCATTATTCAGAAAAATTATAATAATAAAATATATCGAAAAAGTCATTAAATAATATTTTTAATTATTTTACATTCTCACTAAATATAAATCTTTTTTTGTTTTTCTTTCCTGTAAAGCATGTAACTGATTGCCTTATGGAAAGTCAACTATTATTATATTATACTTATCTTAATGACTGCACAACAATTTTTCTCCTTATGACGTTATTACGATGTGATGAATTTGTATTTCAATAAAACCTAACCCTTGCCTTTTTCTCTAACTAAAATAGCTCAGCTTGTGAAAATATATGAATATCACATCAGCTCATAAAAGAGTAATTTATGCCAATTTTTCATTTATCAATAAAAATTTAATTTTTATTTATCAACAAATATTAGAATAAATATCAACAAATATATATTTAGAGCATTAAAATAAATAATATGAATTTGTTTCATATCATTTTCATTATATCACGTATATTTATTTTCAGAATTTTCTTCTTGTCCCTTGTCCAAAGAATGTATACACACCTTTTTCTTTTCTTTTTCAGTGTGAAAAGATTTTTTTTTCTCCAAACAACTGGCTTGACATGACACATGTATATGAAAAATAAACAGCCGCTGCGCCGCCACCATACTTAGATAATGTCCAGCACACAAATATTTATCAATTCGTGCATAATATTGTTTTTCTTCTAACAAACCATTATTAGCCAATGAAATAAGTGAAATTAATCTATAGTGGAACCGAGAGTGAAGTAATAAGGAAAGGAGAGGGAATTTTCAAAGAGATTTCAGTACCATTTATAGCATTTTCTCTGATCAATTTGGTTCTTTCTTCGTAATAAATTAATTAACATCATTTGAATGTTGATGAAAAAACTATCGAGGATCTGCACTTGTACTAGCTCTAGGCAATAAGCAAGCCCTATGTGACTAGCTTAGTCAGAAAACAATTCTCCTCGGAAGCAGCTGAACAACATGACAACTAAAAAAAAAACAAAATCAAACAAAGCAATGCATCCAAGAACAAAAAATGAGTATAAACACTTGATCAATCCTTGTGATTGCTATACAGGGTGACCAATTAGTCCTGATCCTACTATCCTAATCACATGCTCAACAATCTAACTCATTAACGAGCAAGATTGGCTAAACTCCAAATGGAGCTTGCGAAGGTTGCTCCTGCTGAACCTGTTTCCTGGGGCGAGTTTTGGTTCTTGATTCTGATGTTCCTGAGATCAGCAACGAACCCTGGTTTCGAAATGATGACATCTTTTATATTAGTTTTGTTGGTCAACTTCTCCACAACCTCTGCCATTCGTGGCCGAAGCTTCGCGGTTTCTTGCACGCAAAGTAGCCCCACCTTGAGGAATTTCAGGGCCTCTTCCTCGGGAAAATTCATGTTGAGCATGGGATCCACCAGTTTTATTAAATTGTTAGATTGATACGCTGCCCACGCCTGCAATTGTAAAAATGTTCATCTTCAAAGTTCACACACACACACAAAATCACACTTTTCTTCAATTTGACCAGATCAAGACAACTAAAAAAGCTATTTTAATTAGTCCCCCATTTGGATTAAACCCTTTAATTCACGGCTTTTAATTCTATCCCACCATCTGTGGCTGAATCTACTACGCTAGCAAGCTACAAGCAATTATGAGTTCTGACTTCAATTCATACCTTCTCCACTATGAAACGTTCAATGTCTTCATAAGCATCCACCACTGCTAGGCCACTGACAATTTGTATAAGCAACACTCCAAAGCTATAAACATCTGATTTTCGCGAAACCTGTCCAGAATTGGCATATTCTGGAGCTAGATAACCCCTGTTGAGTTATGAAAAGAATCCTCATTAGTCATGGAATAAAAAGGAATCAAACTATTGAACCAAGGTAGTTTATTCTTTCTTCTTAATGTTCTAACTTACAATGTCCCTGCAACCCGAGTGCTGATGTGAGAAGCTTCGTCTCTCAGTAACTTTGCCAAACCGAAATCTGAAACCTTTGGTGTGAAATTCCAATCAAGGAGAATATTTTTGGCTTTGATGTCTCTGTGTACAATATGAGGCTTAAGCTCCTCGTGGAGAAAGTCAAGTCCCCGAGCCACCCCTATGGATATGTCCCTCCTTGTTTCCCAATTGAATCTCATCCTTCTCTCTTCCGAACCTTTCAATCAAAAGCAAGAAAAACAGAATCATCAACTTCTGCCCCCATTTGCAACCACTGAATTGGAAATTCAGAAACACATAATAGAAACTAATTATCCTAAAACTAATTACCTAGGAAAGTGCTATAGAGGCTATTGTTTTCCATGTAATTATAGACCAAATATCTGTGAACACCTTCCACACAACACCCTTTCAGGCTTACAAGATTTTGGTGCTTGATGTTCGCAAGTGTAGCCAATTCTGCCACAAATTCCCTCTCTCCTCGCATGGATTCCACCTCAACAGAAAGCACCTTCACCGCCACAAAAGAACCATCCACAAGCCTCCCCTGTACAAGTCAAAACCCAAATCAGTCTCTCACAACAAAACCCCCTTGGTTAATTTTCGTTACAGCACGAAACCGCATTGCATGTCAATGCCAATTAATCGAAAAACAAAACCCATTAAGAGAGTGAGAAGAAAAAAATGTGTAATTAACCTTATAGACAGAGCCAAAGCCACCTTCTCCAACCTTCTCCGAGGAATGGAAATTACGCGTAGCCAGTTTCAATTGGTTGTAAGTGAACAAACGAAAGCTCCCATTGTGGATCTGTCCCTCTGGGTAGTCTGCAATGGAATTAAAGATATCAAAGATAATAAACAAGAACCAAAGTGTTGAAATTGATGTGTGTATTAGGTGTGTTGTGTACCGTTATTGTTGTTTTTTTCTTTGGTGAATGAAGAAAAACAAGAAAAAAAAGGAATCTTCATGTCTTGTCTTGTAACAGTCCGTTGGATATTGGGGTTTCGGGCTATATATGAAGGTTTTGGAGAGGGAGAAGAGCGTGTGGAGAAAATGAGAAAGACCATGTTTGAGTAAATAGAGAATACACGGTTAATCTAGGCATGCATTAATTCATTATTGCTTTTGACACTTTCTTCTTCTTTGTTTCCCCATTTTGGAATTTTGTTTTTTCTCACTGTTCTCGAGTGACGACGACCCATTCTTCTTTCACCTTCGAACTTTGTGAGACTATTGAGTGACCCAACTAGTCATTATATGAACAGTGGAATGAAATTACTGAACTACTGAAATGTGTTTTTCTTATCTGTGTCATGAAGTAACTATGTTTTTCAATCCACTGCCACGCAAAAATAACTTCCAATCTTATACATGGTAAATATTGTATGTTTTAAACATAAATTCAGCTAGATTTTAAATATAAATTAAAAAACATTTATTAAATTTAGGTTGTAAGTTATGTGGATTTTAGATAGATTTTAGAAATAAAATCCAAAACACTCCAAAGTATGGTATTTTAGGTTCTAACTCTACCCGGTAAATCTAGATAGATTTTAGAAATGTGTATTTTTGAGGACAAATTTAAAAGTATAAATAGTAGACTTAGAATAGTTTTATTTTTTTTATGTAAAACAATTTAAAAAAATAAAAATAAATTATATTATATTTTTAACTATTTTTTTACAATAACATCATTTATGAAAAAAAAACTAAAAACAAAAATACATTTTATCAGATTTAATTTTTAAAAACTACAAAATAAAAATAGTTTTTAAAATGTGTTTTAATGTTATTAACCCTAAAAATTAAAATACTGAACATTATTTTCACCTAATAACTTTAGTTTATGAATAGGAGTGGAGCAGTTGATACTTCAGGAAAAAGGAGCAACGTAACGAAACAGGAATAAATTAAAAAAGAAAAATTGAAAGTATGAAACGTTAATATTTGAGAACAGAGTTAGCGAAATTTTATTTAAAAATATAATCATTAATTTCATAACTTTAAATTATACAGGTAAATAAAATGCTATCAAGTCACGAGTCTTGAAAAGAGAACTAACTAATATCTTAAAAACAAACTAATATAATAAAAAAGATTCCTTCATTCTTAATGTGGATTGAGCTATCTAGTTCTTAATTTAGCAAAATTTATGTTCTGGATATTCCTATTATAAAATTCATTAAATTGGCCAAAGTTTTGTGATTCTTATCTCCATTCGTGAGTAAACATTTATGCATATGCATGGTATATATACAAATTATAACTTAATCCCTATGTAATAAAAAAATTGTTTATTAATTTTAGAATATTTAAGATCTATTAACATTCTTTTTATATTCACTAATGATTATGAATCAAAATCAATAATAATTTATATATATATATATATATATATATATATATATTTAAATGTTTATTAAAGATAAAATTTTAACGAATAAAAATAATAAAGTTAACAATATTTTAGATGTAATAATAAATCTTAATGATATTATAAAGACAAATATAATGTCGAAATATTCTCTCGTTCTTACATAAAACATTAATACTTCATAAATAGATTATAGTAAATCTTAAAAATTTAATAATAATAATAATAAGTAAAAAGATGAACTTATGTAATGAGATTAAAAATAGAATAAGACAACTAAATTTAAATAAATATAGATGAGTGTTATATAAGAAAGAGATGATAAATAAATAACATAATATTTTTTAAGTTAAATATCTCATAATACATGCATTAAAAGATTAAACATGCCAAAATATTTGATGATGAAAGAAAAATAATATATAAAGCTTTTTCAAGACAAGGGCAAAACTAAGAGATCCAGAGAAAGTATTTAATATAATATGAAAATCTCATTTCTGAAAACAGAAGTTTTTTTCATTTTAAAATTTATTGGAATCAATAATATTTAATTAAATATATTATGTTATATAAGAATAAGAGAATATTCGGATTAAATTCATTACAATTGTTAAAGTTCATTATCACGTTTAAAATATTATTTACTAAGGTTTAAAAGATATTATATATAAATTTTTTTAATCTCAATTTTATAATTTATTAATATTCTGTCAAAAAAATGTGTTTTATTATCATATTTATTATAATATGGTGAAGATTTATTGTTACGTTTGAAGTATTTTTTAATTTAAAATTAATTTATTATAATTTTTTCTTTAATAAACCCCTTGATAAATTAAAAGTAAAGAAAGGTACGTAAATCATGTATAGATTTCAAATCACGAAAAAAAAAAAGAATGTTATACTAAGCCGTAATGCTATAAATATAAGATTTTGGGAAGGGAAGGATGATGAAATTTGAAAAATAATGTTTTAACACGTTAATCATAGATAATAGAATTTGTCAAGTCCTTTTCCTCGTACAGAATTTATCCATATTTTGAACACGTACTTCATATTTTATTTCATCCTCAATCTGACCAACTGTGTTCTAATTTTGACCATCTTGTAACAATTTTTTATGTTATTTTTCCCATGTTGTCCACAAGGATGGCTTAAAGTGGGATCAATTTTGATTCTTAGTTCTCACTACATGAGATTGTTGCAATTTTGGATTTTTAGATTAAATACCTTATTCTAGAATAAGAATAAATTATTTGGTCTCAATTGTTTTTTTATGTTCTTATTATACCACTACTGTTTAAAAAGTCACATTAACAGAAGGAGTTATTTTTGTTCTATTTATATGTAAATTGAATTAGTTATTTTCGTTTGACAACTAATCATAATAATTAAACTGCCACATGTATTTGTATAAAGACATTCCTCGTCAATTTTGGCATGCAAATTCTATTTTGCTTCTCCGGTAATCATGTTTCCTGGAATTTTTTTGTTTGGAAATATGTTTCCATTAATATAAATATACATATGTTCCTTAAAAAGGAAATATAAATAGGATCTTGTTAATTAAAATTTTTCTTTAAACTTAATGTAATTTTTTTAATTATTGGAATTAGATGTTGACTTTTGTAACCCAAAACTGTATTAAGAAACTGTTGAGACTAACAGATTTCTTGTAACAGAACCAAGCTTTAAATACTATTCATTTTTCATGTAAATGTAGAGCGTATAATAAAGTTGTGATTGTGAATACTTATCTTTGTAGAATCCTCTCTTCTCTTGTTGTGTGGTTGACACGATCCCTGCAAAATAAGAGAAACGTGATTAGTGAAGCAGATAGGAGAATTAATCGGTGGAGAAAGGAAAAGAGGCTGATCGGTGAAGGAGAAATACCTAGGTTCGAGAGTGTTGTACTGCAGGAAAGAGAGAGACGAGAAAGGGGAGAGGCAGAGTGGTAGGTGAGAGTAGTGATAAGAAGAAATAGATATTTCTTCTGCAATTGGGCTGGTGAATAGTAAAAGGCCCAACAGATTGGTATCAAGAGCAAGGTTCAAGAAAGAGAATCTTGGGAGTCTTGGGAGTATTGTTGTGTGTTCTACTCATGGTTAGTGGTGGTTTGATCCCGGGAAGCTTACACATATTTGATGGAAAGGGTTATGATGATTGGTGCGTAAAAATGGAGGCCATTCTTGGATTTCAAGAAATTGATGAGATTGTGAAAGTGGGTTTCAAAGAACCACCCAAGAATGCGGATGAAGGAGCCAAGAAGACATACAAGGAGATGAAGAAGCTGGATTGTAAGGCCCGTGTATTGTTGCATCAATGTGTTGCAACTCCTATTTTTCAGAAGATCTCAAAAGTTGTCACAGCAAAGGAGGTTTGGGAGATTTTGCAAAATGGGTATGGAAATTTTGGGGAAAATGAAGAAGGTGAAACTGCAATCCTTGAGAAGGCAGTATGAACTTCTCTCTATGACAGAAAAGGAGACTGTGGCAAAGTATTTTGACAGATTGCAGGTGATTACTAATGCCATGAGAGCATGTGATGAGAATATAAGAGACTGCAGAATTGTAGAGAAAGTTTTGAGAACTTTAACCCCAAGGTTTGACCACATTGTGGTGGCCATAGAAGAGTCAAGAGATTTTGATGTTATGACACTAGAAGAACTGCAAAACTCTCTTGAAGCACATGAACAGAGAGTGAATGAAAGGAAGAATGATGAGAAGGTGACTCGAACAGGCTCTACGAGGCCAAGATGAGTTATGGAAGCAGAGGCGTAAATGGTCGGAGAGGCGAGATGTAGAGGAAGGTCCAGAGGCAGATTCGGAGGCAGAAATGGTGGTAGGAATAATGGCAAAAACAATGAAATAGTGGCCCAGGAAAAATCAGAGAATAGTGGATATGATGGTAGAGGTGGATATCAGAACAGAGGAAGAGGAAAAGGTGGCAGGAGACCATATGATAAAAGAAGAATTCAGTGCTATAATTGTGAAAAATATGGACATTATTCTTATGAGTGTTGGCAGGAGGACACGACAAAGATGGATCAAAAAGAAGAAGAAGCAAATATGGCACAAGAAGAAGGAAATGGGTCTGATTCAGACCAAGTATTATTGATGGCAACAACAGGCAGTGAAGAGGATAGAATGTCTTGGTACTTGGATACGGGGTGCTCCAATCATATGACTGGAAACAGGAATTGGTTGATTGACCTCAATCCATGTGTGAGAAACAATGTTAAATTTGCAGACAATAGCTCCATTGTGGCAGAAGGAATTGGAAAGGTAATGATTACAAGGAAGGATGGCAAGGTGGCCTACATGAATGATGTTCTATACGTCCCAAGCATGAAGAATAATTTACTCGACTCGGGACAACTTTTAGAGAAGGGTTACACCATGAATATGCAGCAGAATTTGATTGAGATTTATGACTCACGAGAGAGGCTCATAATTAAGGCACCATTGTCCAAGAACGGGACGTTTAAAGTGAATTTAGACACTACTGAAATACGATGTCTAGCGGCTGATAATGTGGAGGATGAAAGTTGGTTGTGGCACTACAGATACGGTCACCTAAATTTTAAAAGTTTGA